TTTCTCTTAATGCATTGCATAAAGATCGGATCGGGAAAAATCGGTATCGGCAAATTGTCAAAATCAAATGATCGGAATCGGATCGGGAGCAAAAAAAGGTGATCGGAACATCCCTACTTATTTCAGTTATTAAGATTTTTTTAAACGATTGCATCCAGGACTAATGATGGACCTATGTTTTCCCAATACAAACCATGAGTAAAATTACTACTTAACTTTGACATTTTCTGTCATTTTATTTAGAGTACTTTTGGAGGTAGGATGTCAAATAAGAGTAATTTGATCATAGCTGGCTGGCAGGGCTGTACCCGAATATTCGACTATTCATTCGTTGGCCGACTATTCAGGTTTCAATTTCATTATTCTGATATTGTTTTTTTTATTTTTTTCTAAATGTATGCTATTAATAAAGGCGAATTGCCATATTCTTATACTATATTTACACCTTTGAATTGCACTGTTAAAATGCGGAAATATATACAATCTCAGCCTGTGCTCCTCACATCGCGTTCACTCACAGTCACAAACGCAAACGGCACGCTTCACCTCGCTTCACCTCGTTTCACCCACAACATGCCGAAGACTTCAGCTGTGTGGGACCATTTTAAATTGGACGACGGTAAGAAATATGCCAAATATGCGATAAGAAACTGGCCTACCACGGTGGCACAACAACTCTGAAAAGTCACCTGGATGCTGTAAGTAGTAGCCTAGCTTAGCTTAGCTGTTGGCAAGTTGCCATGATGAAGCTGCTTTATCCGCCGTTTAAACCGTAACGTTACACATGATAAAAACGTGCACTTACTTTGCTTGGAAAATAGTTGCAAGCAAGCAACCACATTTTTTTTTATATTAGTTTTTTAATTTAACAAGTAGGTAACAAGGTAACAAGTATGACACTGTTAGGCCTACTGTTACGGCTATGTTATTAAAAGTATTGTTGTTATAACAGAAATGTGTTTTTGTATCTTTGTTTGACTGTTCAGGTTGTAAAATGTTACAGACGGAATTTGGAACCAGATTTGGTCCCCGGGCGCTGCACTGCGGTTGGGTTAAATGCAGAGGACACATTTAGTTTTAATGTTTGCGAGTACTGAGACAATAAATAAATATAAATCGTAATAGTATGCTCTTTCTGCACTTCTGCTTAACAGCATGTTGTCAGGTGTCTCGGATTCGGAGCGTGTTATGAAACCTTTTGGAAAAAAAATATCTTTTTGAAAAAATGTTTTATTAAAAATAAATACAAATCTCTCCACACCGAATATTCGAACATTCGCTGCTGATTACTAATATATCTGGAGCCCGAAAAATGGTATTCGGGACAGCCCTAGTCCATTTAGACAGTTCCTCAAATTACTGACTACATTTGAACGCATCCCTTGTGACCAGCTCTCATAGTATGCCTCTCGTCCAATGAAATGACTTGGTCGCTCTATGACGCGTTGAAACCCAATGTGAGCAAATTACACTGACCTGAGATTACTTCCAAAAAGTTCTTCACATTCTACATTTTTTACGTACACACGTGTACCAAACCGAAGGGCCCATACCGAATAATTTCGGTACAAATACGTATACCGTCACACTCCTATTGTGTATGGGTAATGTCCAGCTAATCCAGAGGGGTTCTCATAAGTCATCATTTTGTCAGGAAACGACCACTCCCATGACCGTCCCCACAGCCCTATCATTGAGAAAGAAAGAAACAAGAACTGCAAACAAAAACCTATGTTAAAACAAAGAAAAAATACTTATAGTTGACATGATTACACAAATGATTTGTTTGCAACTTATAGTTTTATTTTTGAAATGTATTTTATTTAGCTTGAGTCAGTTTTTTTTGTCTTTTAAACTCATAGTTTTGCTTTATTCTGAGAAAGTCTTGCTTTATCTTTATGATACAAAACTAATCCCATAGAGTTCAAGCTGAGTTTCGCCATGTCACGCTGTCTCAGACTGAGAAATCTGCAGAGCAGCGGCTGANGATTTCTGCATAAATTGGTCATAACATGTGTTCTGATCTTCATCTAAGTCACAACAATAGACAAACACAGTCTGCTTAAGCTAAAACCACACAAACAATAATTGTTTGTGTGGTTTTAGCTTAAGCAGACTGTGTTTGTCTATTGTTGTGACTTAGATGAAGATCAGAACACATGTTATGACCAATTTATGCAGAAATCCAGGTAGTTCCAAAGGGTTCACATACTTTTTCTTGCAACTGTACATGCAGAGGCCTTGATACATTGAATAAATGGCCACTATACTGTAGTTTTGCTGAGCTTTCCATATTCATGTGTTTGTCCAAAACATGGAAATCAGGTGCATTCACATCTGCACTGTACTTTATTTGGTCCTAACCAACAGATACAATTATGCATGGCTGCCTTATAGTTCTGCTCTGTGTAATATTCCCACTGACTGGTTACCATCATGCTACTACAAAACACTGGCCCTACTGATAATGGTTGGAAAGCCCTCACACAAAGTACAGTTTCCAATGTGATTCAAACCAAGGTGTGGTGAGGGTGGTTTTGCATATGACCTTATCTTTGACACAGTCATTCTCCTCATTTGCTTTTACAGGCCGTGAAGCTGACTAGCTCTCGCACCCAGCTTCCCTATGAATACTACTCTCTGCCTTTCTGTAAGCCCGATTCTATCTTCTACAAGGGAGAGAACTTAGGTGAGTTTACTGCTGCTGACAAGTGTGGATCATGCTCTGGGACATTTCCCGACATACTCGCCTCATTTAACCTCAAACTAATTAGGAAAAGCACTCTCATCTTACATGTTGCTGTAATGAAAAATGTGTAAACATGTTGTTGTTTTTGGTAGGGGAGGTATTACGCGGAGACCGTATTGTGAATACCCTCTACAATGTGGATATGAACAAGGACAAGAAATGTGAGATGGTATGCAACGTGAAAAAGCTCAACGTAGAAGAGAGCAAGCTGGTTGCTGAGCGAATCCAGGAGGAGTATTATGTGCACCTGTGAGCATCCCTTCCTATCTGTTACAATATTGTTACAAGGAGAGGCCCCAACAATGCTAATATTCACCTATTGCCATGATGATTAGAGTGGTGCAGTGATGATGTATTTGTGTAGACCTACTCAGAAGTATATAGCATCTCAAGGGTTCCCTCAACAAAATTCCTTTATTGAATATTGCAGAAAATAATCTCAGTGGCAAACAAAATATTTACACGTTTTTTTTAGCAGGACTAACTAATCTCAGAATGAAGTTGAAACATCTGTTATCATATCTATGTGATAATGTGATTTTCTGGAAATTAGATATTTTTCAATATGCAAACTAAAAGTGAACATTTCTGTGACTCTCAGTATTGCAGACAACCTGCCAGTTGCCACCAGGTTAGAGTTTTACCCCAACAGAGAGGCAGCAGGGGAGGAGGAGCAGAAGAAGGACATCCAGTTTGAACACGGATACAGACTGGGCTTTGTCGACAACAACAAGGTGTGTGTGTTTGTGATTTATCTACGTTATTTATTTTAATTAACACTTTAAGTTTTCCAGATTAATCACAAGCGTTTGCACGCCCTAAAATATTTACTAAAATTATCATTCTGTCTGTGTATTTAAAGTCTACTAATTTAGTTGTTCTCTTCTCCCTCACAGTTTTACCTGCACAACCACCTGTCCTTCATCCTGTACTTCCACAGGGAGAAGCTGGAGCAGGGGGATGTTCACAACTACAGGGTGGTGCGCTTTGAGGTTGTACCCCAAAGTGTAAAAGTAGATGGTAGGTTGTGTATTGTTTTCGACCTATGATTATTTAAAACTATAAAGTGGGAGTAAAGGAGATATGGTTACCCTCACTCTATACTTACCCAGTTTTGTATTTCACAGATCTGAAGCCTGTGGAAAAGGACAAGACTTGCACCTTGCCTGAAGCCAGTGGCTCTGCCGCACAGGAGATTGACCCGACCAAGGAGAACGGAGTCCTCTTCACCTACTCCGTCCACTGGGAGGTCAGTGACTGCTCCATGGAGTCAGACCCGACTGAAACACTGAAGGGATTTACTATTTAGCTTCAAATCTTAGCACTTAAAAATCAAGTCTGCTAGTGCTACAAAATCTAAACAATAGAAGGGGTGACTGTCTGTGCGTTTGTTTATCCAACCTGACGCTCTAAACTAAAACAAGAGAATTGTTGTAAGAAACAGAGAGCATTCTATTTCTATATAAATACACAATACATTTACATGCACAACAAAATCATTCTCATCGATATGTATATTCAGTGTACATCAATAATATTGTGCCTCTTTCTTGTAAATGAGGTGACAATGTAATGTACAATGTATGACATGATAGCTTGCAGGTAGTAACATTATGCCTATAAAAATAAATGAGAAAAGTTAGGCTATAGCATTAGGAGTTAGAGGAAATGTAAGCTAGTAAAACGTTTAGCTGAAACGTTTAGCACTGCCGCTCTTTGAGAGAGCTGCCCCTCAATATCAGAACATGACATTCCAATCAAAAATGGTCCAGTTTGTGCCAGAGTGACTATTTATGACTGCACCCGATACAGTTGTTATTAATTTGTTATCAATTTGTTGTTTTGCAATTATGGTTTCAAAGCAACAAGGTCAGATGTCAACATTCCAGCATTTTTTCCAGCTGTTTTAGTTTTCTAAGATGATACAGCTAGATACTTGTAAAGGAAGGAATGCTGAGCCTCTAATGTCCTCTGTGCAGGAGAGTGAGGTGAAGTGGGCGTCTCGATGGGACACATACCTGACCATGAGCGATGTTCAGATCCACTGGTTCTCCATCGTCAACTCTGTGGTGGTCGTCTTCTTCCTGTCTGGTATGTCCAATTTTGGACAGATCCTGCTCAGTGCTACTGTCATTTCTCAAATGGCCTTATAAACACAATAAAGTACTGCAGGTCATTAGAAATCACAAATAATACATACACATTTTATGTATAAAACTGCCTTTTAATTGGTGAGATTCAAACACATACCGTGAGCCTTTTGCTTTGTTTACAACTTACTCTTGTTAAAGTCATGTCAATCTATATGTAAGGCCTCATACTGCAACATTCTCCTAAATGTCTCGTATGCTTTCTGTTAAGAGAAAAAAAGAAAGAACAGTCAGCTCCAAATAGGCCTGTCACGATAATTAATTGTGTTGGACGATACATTTTTCTGGAAATTATTGCGATAAACGATAATATTGTCTGCACCGTTTTAAGACCATTTTAGACATAATGATAATATATAATAATAATTCAAGTACATCCTTTCAAACATAACTTTTTATTGAACATTCAACATTGCAAATGAAATGTGAAATAATATTACAATATATAAATGATATATAATAAATAAAACAAATTAATTAAATTATAATAAATTAATTAAATCACACACAACCAAAACAATAAATTAAATAGAGTCAGGCTGGAAAACAGAGCTCTCTCTCTCTCTCATATATATATATATATATATATATATATATATAAATAAATAAATAAACACACATTGTCTCACAAGCAAAAAAAATCTCCTTAAAACAACATTCATGTGTTCAGTGCACTGTCCATACAAAGACCCAGATGCCTCAACAGGCCATATCCAAATCTGTTTTTCGAAGTTTTCGAGCAAGGAACACCAACATACATGCATTGTCGGGCAAATGCATCTTTGATTGTAAACTGTCGGGAAGGTGGGGGCTCTCCATCTCCAGCTGCCGTGTTTGCTCCCAGCTGGGAAAACGGAATGGAGTGGTTGTGTTTTAGGTGTAGTTTAAAATGCGTGGTATTGCCTGCTTTTGTCGCTACCTTTTTTAAACAAATGCGACACACCGCCCGGCTCATTCAAGTCCGTAGGTTGGCCTCGTTGATTTGGCTTGAATCCAAAATACTGCCACACTGGAGAATCGAGATGTGTATGTTTTGTAACCAATTCCATTTCACTTTAANAAGTTGTCCCTTAAGGTTATTTTTTTATTTAAATTGGATATTCTATCCAACATGGATATAGCTTATTTTTTTCACAGCAGCATTGGATCAGTTCAGTTGTGCAGCATTGGATCAAAACAAAAATAAAGCTTATCAGTACTCGTTAGCTTACTGCTACAATTAGACACTGCGCCCTGCCCACTCTGTTGCCAGATTTCAGAGAAATAGGTCTATGAAAACAAGCCCCAAAGAAGCAACACATACATGATGTTGTGTAATTTGAAACCAAAACTAAGGCCTCAGGATGACTTTAAGACTTGAACATGGTCATTTTTGTTTTGTAACATTGAANAAAAAAAAAAAAAAGTATTTAAAAAAAAAAAAAAGAAGAAAAAAAAATCCCGATCCCCGATTTTTTTTCTCCCGATCTTTTGAAAATCACGTGATCGGCTCCGATCCCCGATCACGTGATCGGATCGGGACATCTCTAGAAATAAGTAATTCTTCCCTCTCTGTTTTTCTTCCGTAGAAGTATGAGGGTCGACTGCGCTCATCCAGGATTCCTGCCCCTTTCTCCTGTATGTAAATAATTCATTTGTTTTGTTTAAGATTGTCATGTCCTGTAGATTGGCTCCTAACAGCTTGTTTCCTTCCAAAAGCCCCTGCAGTCCCCAAGGCTGAAGAGTCAGGTCGGCATAATTAGTTTTCTAATCACTTCCTCGTTAACCGGATCAGGGTATAAGTGCAAACTAAATCCACAATTCTAAACTCTTGATAGGCCTGGCCACTGACTATTCCTAAAGAATCATCGACTTTAGTTTAATGATTTACGGCACATTGATGCAAATAAACAACTATGGGTATTGTGTAGTTCTGAGCCTGTAGAACTATCTCTTTTTCCATGAATCTGCTCTCACTTCTGGTGTAGCGTGCTCAGTATCATTTCTTAAAACTTTTGTATTAGTTTGTTTATCCATTTAAGATAGAATTGTAGAATGTTGTGACACTATTCATCTTAGCAATACTTTATATGCAAATTTCAAATATGTAATCATCTGCCGCACTTAAATTAAAGATTTCCTCTACCTCTGATAATCTCTCTCATTGCGCACTTCTCTGTCACTATGGGTTTTGCTTTCAGTCCTCCTTCCATAACACCACACAACCTCTAACCCAAGAAAAAACCTGCCTGAAATACTCTACTATATTTACTGTCAGACACTAACAATCATACTGCGGCTGTTTGACTTGGATTTGTCTTACTTTCAGTAAGTGCCAATCGATCTCAGAACCGGCAGACGTGCATGTTCCAGGTCCCGGCCCCGCCCCCTGACCTCGCACCAGTCCCAACCTCTGAGTCTACTCGGGCAAACATGGAACCGGTTCACCAGGATCCCCACCCTTCATCAATCCTCATACCCTCTGGTTGGTAGAGAAAATAATTCACAAACTAGAAAATTTTCAAAGAAAAAAAGACACATTTTGTTGCCCCAAACATGCATATATTGTAATTGCTAAGTATATACATAGTTCAAAGATATGTGTTACGATTAGTTCAATTTGTCATCTTTTTAACTCACATGCACCCTTTCTTTCACCTTTTTCTAGCACCTTCTAATCAGCAACGTAGAAAGAATGAGGCTTCATCAGCTGAGACCCTGTATGTTGCCCGACAGTCAGTAAAGGAAAATGAACCAGATAAAATGCCTCCTCCGTTTGCTGTCAAATGTCAGTAAATCATTTATCATCAACATAATAATATGTATCCACCAGATCACCTACATCTATAGACATATTCCATACACAAAGAGAGAGAGAGAGAGAAAGCTCTTCACAGTCCTGCCACAATTGCAGCTTTCTTTTACTCCTGCATAGGATTGTTTATTTGTTTCATTTAAGACAAACATGTGTTGGTAATTAACAGGGTGTCCGCGGGGTCTTAAAAAGTATTAAAAGTTGATAGATCAATTTAGCGAAAATTAAGGCTATTAAAAAGTATTAAACGGCATTTTCCAAGGTATTAAGAAGGTACACAGGCACACACAGTCGTTGCACGTCAGTCCCCTCCCGCTGCCATCAACCGGTAGCCCTCTCAGCCTGACTTTGCGGCGTGAAAGACCGATCGTGAATCGTACACCCTGCGCCTGTCGAAACTAGGGGGTCGCTGTCTGAAAGAGGGGGTGTCTCGCCGTCGTTTCCGTTGCTTTGAGTTTGATTCTTTCGTCGGTAAATCGCGGGCGCGATACGTATCCCGGGTGGCGATCTCCCCCAAAGGGCTGTACAGCACGTCAGTTACTTTCCCACAAAGTACAA